TGTGGGGAGGCAGGAAATCTCTGTAACTTCTTCTCAATTTTGTTATAGACCTAAAACTGCTCTAAAAAAGATTATGTCCTAAAAAATTATATACATTTTATAAGTACTCATATGGAAAGATCTCTAACACAGAGGTAAATTAAAAGACCACCTCACAAAAATAAATAGTTCTAGCATGATCCTATTAATACATGAGTGGAAAATATAACTGTATGTGTATAAATTCATTGTAAATTTCTAGAGGAATATTTGGAAAACTATTAAAAGTAGTTGCTACAGCTACAGGCAGGAGAACTTGGGGTATACTTCTGCATCATTTGGCACTTTTACATGAAGAACAAATTTCCATAGTAATGTGTAATTAAAAATAAACTTATTCAGAAATATATTCATTGACCTCATTTTGAACAATCCAGGATAGTCACAAAGGCATGCTTATTTAGAAATGTAGATGTTCTTTCTAACTATGTAAGTGGAGATTTTCTTTTAGTGTCCCAGCATGCTAGAAAGTTGTTAAGTCATTTGTGTTATGGCTAAAGAATAAAGAAAAACTAATTAAAGAATGTAAATTAATTAGCAAGTTAATTAACTGAAATTGCACAGAGTCTCCTTTCCTCAAGATTAATTTCTTTGGGGCTTTAGTGTTATAAAAATAATAAAAATAACTATCAATAATTTAATTTCATGCAGCTTTGAATGTTTGTTAGAAAAAAAGTAGATTTGTAAATTATACCCAAAACAATAAAAATTGCTCAAAACTGCCGCAACCTGCATGGCTAGGGTTCAGGATCTGAAGGAGGGGCCAACGCACAAATGAAAATATTATACAAGAAATATAAATTTACAAGACATGGGGCCAGGTGGAGACCTCTCTCTTGGAGAGGCACACTGAAACCTGGCCTTATCCACTTTTTATTCTGTTTTAGATACACCTCTTGCCCTCAGTAAAGCACGGCAAACAGGTAGCAGACAGACCATCTCTAATGTCAATAAAGATCAGTGAAGATCAGTAAGGTCCAGTAAACATTTACTTTGTGTCTATTAGGTCAGGAAATTGCTTTGAGCCACTGCTATCTCAACAGAACAATGGTGTTTAGTGTTAACCCTGCCAACGCCCAAGGTCCATCGGCTTTCTGCGTTCCTTGCTGTACTCTTATGACAGTATTGGGAAAGCAGTGGCTTCCCACACAGAACATGGGTTAAAATTAAGGAAATAAAAAACTGATTCAAACAGGGCTCTTCATTATGCCAGCCAAGGATAAATTCCATAATTCCTGATTTCATAGGTTTAGAGAGAGGGCCTGGATTGGTTGGAAAGGCAATTGGTTAGAAGACACTAGATAATAAAGCTTCCATTCATACTGTGTGTGAACTAGGAAGGATGCATGTAATGTATAATGCGAGTGTAGATCATTAGCAGTAGGAGAAAGATATCACAGAAAACATGGTGCAAAGAGCAAGCCAATCACCAAGTAGATGAGATAGTCATTTTTCCAAGCAAAGGGAAAGCATGTATATTAAGAGCATAACAGACCTTGAAAACTTTCACTAGGGCTGGAGTACAGAGTTTGAAAAGAAGTTGATGGGAGATGATGCTGTAGATACAGAATGGAAGCAGTTAATTAAAAGCCTGCATAAGCCATTCAAATTAATTTGGATGTTTTTTCCTTTAGTCTTGTGTAGACGATTATGGGAGCTGCTAGCCACATACGGCTGTGAGTACTTAAAAGATGGCTAGCCCATTAAGATGTGATGTTAAGTATAAAATAATGCCCAGCAGATATCAAGGACTTAGAATAAAAATATGTAAAATACCTCATTATTATTTTTTGACTGATTATATGTTGAAATGATAATGTTCTGGATAGAATTTCACCTGTCTTTACATTTTTTGATTGGCTACTAAAACTTTTAAAATTACATATGTATTTTGCAATACATATATTTTTAGTTGCCAGTGACACTTTTCAGGCATCTTCAAACTACGGCCCGCGGGCCACATGCGGCTCGCAGAGGAGTCTGATCCGGCCCGCCAGGTTTTTTGGGCAGTGAGCGCAGCCAAGGTGTTACAGTAGGAATTAGTAGTTCATATAGTCCGGCCCTCCAGCTCTCTGAGGGACCGTGATCTGGCCCCCACTTTAAAAAGTTTGAGGACCCCTGCTTAGATGGTAGTTAAATCTTTAACTGTAAGGAGTGAAAGATAGGGTTTACCTTTTAGAAGTATCCTCCTGACAAAAGTATGAATGAAGAATGGTTTGTAGGAAAACTAAACAAGAAGTAGGAGAACCAGTTCTCCAGTTATTATAACCTTCCAAGGAGAAAAATGAAAACTTATTAAGGGAAGAGTGTCAGAGACAAAATTAAAGGACAGAATCAATCCATGGGCTGTGGGACAATGAAGGATCGAGAAGAAGATAGTTTTTCAGTTTCTTGCTTGGATGATTAGGTTCTTGGTAATTCTGTTAACTCAGAAAATGATAACAGGAAGATCTAGTTGAAGACGTTTAGAAAGATTATGAATTCTGTATAGAATATGTTGTGAAGGATGTGGGATGTGAAGTATACATTTTCAATAAGCAAAAATAAATGTGCTGAAGTTCAAGCAAAAGCTTTGGACTGGAGATAGGGCGTGTGATTCATCAGTGCATGTATAGTAGATGATGCCATTGCTGAAAAGCTGTTCTTTGAAGAGTACAGAACTCTGAGGAACACTGACACTTATTGAGGGAATAAAACATTTGTCAGGAGATTAAGGAAAAGAAGCCAGAGGGGGAAAGGTAAACCAGAAAATATTGTTTCAAAAGCTTAGCAAGTGGATTTCAAGGATAGCAATCAGCAGCTACAGAGAAATCTAATAAAATAAGTGTCCATTATATGGAATTTTTTGGAGCTTCATGGGTGATTAAATGTATTTTATGTTTATTATCACATTTAATTCTCACAATCATATGAGGTAAGTACTATAATTATCCCTATATTATAAATGCAGGAAATGAGAAGCACAGAAAGGTTAAGTAATTTGCCCAAGATCACATAGCACAACAGTAGATAGGATTTAAGCCCTCTGTAGAAATGTTCTTACTAGAAATCTAAGCTATACAGATGCATATAACTTCTCCTAGAGTACTAAGTGGGCTAAGGAAAGTTTATATTATCAACAACTAGAGGCCCAGTGCACGAAATTTGGGGCCTCGCTTTCCTGGCTGCAAGCTGCCAACTGGGGCCTTCCTTTGTTCCTCACCACCCCTGGTAGTCAGCGCAGGTCATAGCAAGCATCAAACTCCTGGTCAGTGGAACTCCCAAGTGGACACTTTACATATTAGGCTTTTATATATAGAAATAGATAGGTTGAAAATAAGATGAAAGAGAAAAGTTTATTTCTTTTAAGCTGATAGCTTTGGGCCAGTTCTTCAAGGAAGTGAGAGGTTACTCAGGAGACAAGGTAAATAGGATTAACTTTTGCTTCATTTTTGTCACAACCTTTGCTAGTTATTCTAAAGGCTTTGAGAATCATGCCATTGCTATTCTAGGCAGAGGGACCCCTGCTGTAGGTGTCCACTGGAATGGAGGAAGACAGAAATAAGCAAGCAACAAGAAAAGGAGGATGGCTTTCACTTTCAGCTTTAAGTAGCTCTCTCCTCAACCCCCTCTTGTCTCCATTCTGATGCATCTTTATGGAATCCCTTGAAGCAACAAAATTTGGTGCAACCCTATTTCTAGCTGGGCCCAGGAACCTCCTTTAGGCACTTTCTGATCTCCAAGAGAACTCAGAAATCTGATGGGAAAGGTCTCTTTCCTCTTCCCATGATTATCCCAACAAAGGCCTTGTCTTTGCACTTTGAACTGTCTGCTTATCTGATTCAGTGATAGCCATAAAAAAGGCACTCTATTAATTATTACTTAAATAGCTCTGCTAAGACCCTCCCCTCACCCAAAACACATTCACCCTACCTTTCCCATCCATCTACTCTAAAGCCTACAGTTATTTTGTTAGACAGTTATTCATGGTTAACAAGTTTCCTATATGAAACTGAAGACATCCCTGTGGATCTTAGTAGTATTTGACTAGTTCCCCTATGGCACTGGTCAGCAAACTTCGGCTCTCAAGCCACATGCGGCTCTTTGGCATCTTGAGTGTGGCTCTTCCACAAAATACCATGTGCAGGCACACATGTACAGTGCGATTGAAACTTCATGGCCCACAAGCAGAAGTCAGTTTTTGCTCTCAAAAGAAATTTCAATCGTTATACTGTTGATATTTTGTTCTATTGACTAATGAGTTTGCTAACCACTGCCCTAGGGAGATCATTTGAGGAATGGCGTGTGATGGGGGATGAACGACAAATTGGCCTTGTACCTTGGTTACATTTGTGTACCAAATGGCTGGTAGATGAGGGAGCGGGACAGAGATGGAATATCTCCACCTAGATCTAGAAAGGAAAGATTTAGAACAAGGGTGGGGAATGTCCAGCCCACAAACCATATATATTTTGTCTGTCCCTGCCAAGGCATTGCATGTTTCACCAAATATAGTAGACAGATGTTTAAGTTGATAATTTTGCATGGCTCATGAATTATGTTATAAATATCCAAATGGCCCATGGCAGAAAAACGGTTCCCCACCTCTCATCTAGAAGAAGGGCAAAAAGAAAGGTTGAGTTTAGATGGTTAACCAAGATCATGACTGCTCAATTCCCCAAGAGTTCTGTCCCATCAGGAGGTTTTCCTCCAAACAGTGACTCCTCAACACCCAGTTCTATCAGACCCCAGAGAATCAAGTGGCTGGCAGATGAATCCTTTGGGAGAGAGTCAAGTGGCACAGGGTATGATGGATCAGAAGGAACAAAGCTGAGATGAAATTGTAACTAAGTCAGAAGCCTTTGCCTAAATGTGGAAACAGCTAGGAGATTGGAAGACTAAAGGACTAGTTGCTAATTGCTCCCCCACCCTCACAGCCAGGACAAAGAAAACTTGAATGTGAATGACTGTGCTGTACTCACCTCTGTGTACTGCTGGATAACATTTTCAGGGGTGGGGCCGAGAAACATATAGAAATCGAGGATTCCTCCAATGGTCCTGAATGTTAAAGAAGGAGATGGACTCAGAGTGACATCTGGAAAGAACAAAACAAAACAGAGAATAAGTACAAATAATATAAATGGCAGAGATCACTACTTTAATATTTCTGTCATTTAGATGCTGCTTAGGTTGTCTATCTACTATTAGGCACTGAAATTTATAACATTGCTTGTTGAAGGACTTCGGATTTCTGTAGTACTCTGTCTTAAAAGAATTCTGTGATCTATTAGGATGACTGTTTGTGGTTCACTAAAAACCTTTCCATTTTGAAACAAAATGTTAAATTGTAGACAATCTCTCACTCTATATTGTTTAATTAATAAGCATTTTTTGAAGGGAGAAAAGGCAAAAAACAAAACAAAACACAACACAACAACAATAGCATTTAAGTTGGGCAGTGGTTTCTTTATGATTTAAGCAGATGACCACACTACCTTGGGCATTGGAATTCAAGAGGAGGACACCATGAGCATTAAAGTCTTTCTCGATGCACATATAAAAAGGATGAACTCCATAGAGATTGCTAAGTGCCTGCAACACAAACAGAAATATTGTTTTTCATGAATTATAATTTAAGTTTCCTATCTCAATGAGATCCAATAGCAATTAGTGACATGCCAAAAAAAGAAGACAAGAGTGTCACATATGTAGTGAGGGTAAAAGGCAAACTGGTGAAAACCTGAGTGGATGTCAAATTTCAATCTTGTCATTATCACCAATTAAGTATAAACCCAAATGATTTCTGAGCATAGGTTTATAGCACCTTATAGAAAATCATTCTTTATATTTATGCCCTTTTTCCTTTTCCATGAATCAGATTTATAATATTAAAAATCTATATCCACACATTACCACTGGTGACTGATCTCTGGAAAACATTCCATATCGAACATAATTCATGTCATGCTTAAAGGATGGATGTTCGTGTTCACCAAATCCGTAGATGGAAGTTGATGGGACAGAGGTCATCAATTGTAAGTACTGGTTAGAGAATATCAGGCCTCCAAGAGTCGTTTCCCACCTGTGCCAGACAGAGAAGCAGAAACATGACAGGGTGGTGTTTTTTATAAAAACTTTTATAAAACTTTCATAAAAATTCTTTCCTCCATTAAATTCCTGTCAAAAAAAAATTCCTGCAAAGTTAGCTTAAAGGGGGATGAGATAATAAAGACGGGATGTAAGGGATCCGAGAAAATGGCAATTCATGTTTGTTGAGTACTTGCTAAATGTTGGGTGTAATATATATGGTATTTCATTTAATCCTCACAATATTCCTGTGGGAAGGCACTATTATGCCTTTTTTGGTGCAGCCACTGTGGAAAACAGCATGGAGTTAACTCAAAAAATTAAACATGGAACTGCCTTATGACCTAGCAATTCCACTTCTGGAAATTTATTTTTAAAAAATAACAACAACCACAAAACACTAATTCAACAGAATATATACACCCATATGTTCATTTCAGGGTTGTATACAATAGCCAAGATTTAGAAACAGCCAAAGTGCCCATCAGTAGATAAGTGGATAAAACAGCTGTGGTGTATTTACACAAGGGAATACTACTCAGCCATAAAAAAAGAAAAGTTTATCCTTTGCGACAGCATGGATGGACCTGGAGAACATTATGCTAAGGAAAATAAGCCAGTTAGAAAAAGATAAGTACCATATGATTTCATTCTAATAAACAAACTGAACTAACAAGCAAAATAGAGACAGACTCATCGATAGAGAGCAGGTAGACCCTCTGGGCAGGAGGTTAGTGGAAAGGGATTGAATGGGGGAAGGGAAGAGTATGGGGTGATAAATGGTGGTGGAAAAAATAAAAAAAAATATTTTTAAAAATGAGTTTTTAAAAAAAGAAAGAAACTGAGGTGCAGAAAGAATAACGTTACATAACTTGCCTAAAATTACCCAAATAATAGTGCCAGGATTCCATCGGTTTTGCTGCTCACATTTTTGTGCAGCATTTTATCTGTTGAGGTGGAAGTAGGTCTTTCTTGAAATGAAAGGAGTCTGTGTTCAGATAAAACTGAAGAAACCCTGGGTGACCCAAACTGATAGATTCTTTTCTGTAAGGCGTTTTCAGAGTTTTTAATGAGCAGCAATGCAGACTGAGTCTCCGAGAGCTGCCTATGGCACTGACATTTTCCAAAGGTGAATGATGAAAGAAGCCTTTTGTCCAAGAACACCTGTTTACAGTGTGAAATCCAGGGTTAAGTCACTGACTACGGGAAAACAGAGAGGGTGGCGGAGGCCGTGACAGCACAGCAGCCACAGGTGAGAGGCCCCAATGCTGCCCCCGAAGCCATAACCTCATCACAGCCTCTACTCTCTCCGGGGTTTCCAACCCTGTTCCAAGGGGAGGCACCTGCTCCGAGGCCCCCTGCCCGAGGAGACTTCCTCACACGCTGGAGGAGACTGCTGCTGGGTAGCCACACTGACTGTGTTTGCTGGAACTTGTTGCTTTCCTAGTATTGCTCTCTCCTTCTCCTTTCCCCAACCCCCTCTCATTCAAGGATGATTTCCTGAGTGCCCAGCTCTGGACACAGGAGAAATACATAGAGGAATGAGAGTCAGGAACAACCAGGTAGTTACAACACAATGGGACACATGTTGGTAAACAAGTCCAAGCTGATCCAGGGGCATATCCCAGCCTGAGAAGGTGAGGGTCCAGGGATACTGTGGGCAGGTGAGTTCTGTATATGAAGAGGAGTAGCATGTATCCAGTCTGTTTCCCATGGGGAAAAGCCTTCATTATCTTTTTTCTTGTGTTCTTATTTGGGTACAGGTTTTTTTTTAGACCCTAATAAATAAGAACACGCATTTAATGTTTCAGGTTATCAGAAGCCTCCGAACAAGAAGATTTTCCTCTTTTTTTTCTCTTAGAAGTATCAAAACCTCAAAGAATAATTTCCTAAAAGTTGATTGAAAGTTTCACCTAGCCACAAAGACATAAACTAAAGTCCAAAAAGCTATCATGAGTTGCTTTCTAAGTAACTGAATCGTATCAGTAGCCATTATTTAACTCAAAGATGGTTTTAAAAAAAAAATGACAGTGGAAAATGTGCTCTTACTTTGACTATTAAGCATCTGCCTCAAAGACTGTATAAAAATATTAATAGTAGTTAACAGTTACTAAAGAAACCATTCAGAAAGACTATTCAAACGGATTATATTCCAAATAATTAAACATTAGCTCAGCACATGGTGACAAATCAGAACCCCTGTGAAGCAGAGAGCTGAGGACCTCCCAGATGACGGGTCTTTGCAAGAACCGAGGGAGACATGCGAGGTCCTGGCTGAGAGCAAAGGAGGGCGACAGCACAGCGGGAGGGACACGGGACCAGCTCAGGGAATAGCTGTTCACTACCATGGAAGCATTTCAGCATTTTCCCAGCAGCTGTCACCATAAAGGAACCTATCTCTGAGAAATGGTAACCATTTCTTATAGGTAAGGAGTTATTTCCAAGGTCAACTTGCCATAAACCTAAAGGTTACTTTGCCTTCAGAAAATGTAATTTGAGGCAAATCCTTTGGCCTTGACTTTTCTATGTAAAGAATTGTGTCACTTAAGCTTCAGTAGTATGCTAGCAACGATTCTTCTAAAACTAGCCCATGCTACTGTTTATAGAAGCACCTTGTTTTCTTAAGTTTATCTAAAGATTCATGCATCAGTGGGGTCCCTCAGTCCTCAGTGTGGCCTGCGGAGATCAGGCCATACAGCAGGCAGCCACACTGCTCCTGCTCATCCCCTACACACACACACACACACACACACACACATAACCGCCCCAAAGCTGCAACTGCTTGTGCCCAGTCAATCCTGATCAAGAGATGCTCATGTGCTGCATTGAGCATCTGGGGCAGCTCCTGCATTGAGCATCTGCCCCCTGGTGGTCAGTGCTCACCATAGTGACTGGTTGCTTAGGCTTTTACATACATAGATACACTTATACCATTTCCCTTAGCAAAAAAAGGCCCGTCTATGTGGTTGAGCATTGACCTATAAATCAGGAGGTCATAGTTCAACTCCCTGTCAGGGCACATGCTTGGGTTGTGGGTTTGATCCCCAGTAGGAGGTGTGCAGGAGGCAGTGGAAATGATTCTCTCTCGTCATTGATGTTTCTATCTCTTCCTCTTCCAAATCAATAAAAATATATATTTTTTTAAAAAGAGAACCAAATCATTACCTATGCAATTCAAATGTCAGTTTGTTTGAAAGAGCTGATTGTCAGAAGTTTGTAGCACGTTGTGAGTTGCCACCACCAGTTCTCTAGGTCTGGAATAACTGACGTAAGGGGCATAAGCTCTGTCAGTCCTCTCTCTTCTGCTTCTTGTTGTAACTCTCAATGTTCTCAAAGGGTTAGCAGCACTCAGAGATCATGCAGTCACTTAAGATTTTCATAAGGCACATTAACTGTTATTCTTCCCTATTTCTCATTCCCCTTCACAAACACTGATTATACATATAATTACTTGATGTATATTTATACTTATAAAATAAGGCAAATGGAAGGAAAAAGACTTTATAAATAAAGGAGCAAATTTCATTATTTATTTGGAAATTGCCTACATTAAGCATTAACAATTAGGATCACTAGACTCCAATAAGTTAAAAAAAAAAAAAAAAAGACATAGTATTATGACAACAATGTGAATTGAGTTTAAAAATGACATTCACATACATTGTTCAAATGCCTTCTCACTGATCAATTAAAACTAAAATAATTTTAGTGCAACTAAAATAATACCAGATGAAAAATAAAATATAATTATACCATATAACTTTGTCCTTAATATTTTATAAATGAAAGAAAACTGTGTAGGTCAGATAAAAATTAAAGTGAAATAGAACTGCTTTAGAATTTTATCTTCTTATTTAGCTCCTTTAAACAAAAATAAGGCTTCACTACAACCAACTCCTCTCTGAAGTCTTATTTCATTCTTCCTGTCAGAATTTAAATCTCCTTTTCCACTCCTTTTACCCTCATTTTGCATTTCTTTCATTCTCTCCCCTGTTCTAATTATCCCTACTGACAATAGGTAGTATATTTTTCCCAATAACAAACACCAGTTGAATGATGAGAAAATATTTTCTCTATGTACTTGAAGAATGCGCAAGATGCAACAACATGTATTGGGTATTTGTTATGGGAAAGGTTTTATACAGAGCAATAGGAAGCTCAATCCTTCACTTTCCCTTAGGTGCATGCTAACACAGACCTCCACAAAAGCCCTCCCAACCGAGCTGTCTGATGGGAGTGGGGTGAGCAAGGAGATAGAGAAGAAATTGCAGTACACCAAGAGCATTGTGACTGGGCAATTGGGCTCCTCAGGCTCCCATTCAGCCAGAGAGGGTATCAAACCACCATCCATACCCATGACCTCAACAACCAGACCCCAGGCAGCTGAGACATTTTCCTAAAGGTGGCATGACAGGCTAAACAGGCTAGACCCCAATTGCTCTTTTTAGCCTTCAGTCTAAGCAATTTCTAGAGAATTTGTTTTAAGCCTTGAGCATTTACCATGTCGACTGTGTCCCTGTATTCTGACTTGACCTCCTAGTCTGTTAGGATGAATGAACTGCCTGTGCTCCTCAGATTAACTCCTCCAATGATTTACTGGACTCTGACCTTTCTCTCCCTTTTTCTTACACTGTCTTTCATATCAAACTATAAACACATTGTTATTTTTCTCATCTTAAGTGGGGAAAAAAATACTTACATTCTCTCTCCTGACCTCATTTCTTTCTTCCTTGAAATTAGTTTTTGAAACAATCGCTCACCATCACACTTGCCAATTTCTCTCCCCACTCTCATTTGAAGATACTCCTCTCAGGCCTTACCCCTTCAAGACCACTGGAGCTGCTCTTGTCACAGGGAGCAATGAGTGAGCTCCAGAGACTGCACAACATTGTACATATAGTCAGCAGTAACATTTAAAAATTTGTTAAGAGGGTAGAGCTCATGTTAAGTGTTCTTACCATAATAAAATCAACAATAGCATTTTTTTTAAGATGAGCAATGAACTATGTTGGTATAACCCCATGTCCAATTCTCAGTCTTTATCTGATTTAACCTATCAGTAACATTGGATGGAATTGCTCACAACCTCCTTCCTGACTTGCTTTTTGCAGTCTCTTTTAGGGGTGTCGAACTCAATCAGAGAAGGGGCCAAAATCTAAAATCCAGCCTAAATCGCGGGCCGAATGTTTTACTGAACAGTCATAAACTGTCATTGTGATGGAAACGCAGCGGAGTGCAGTGATGACAGCGCGGTGCAGGCCACATTGCAAGGCCTGGAGGGACGGATTTGGCCCGCGGGCCTTGTGTTTGACACATGTGGTTTAGGTGAAGAAACTCCCTGTCTCTAATTTCAGTCTAACTGTATCTTGCTATTTCTGAGCATATCTAAAATGTACTTACAGGGTAATAGACAACTGTGCACTGATATTTGCTTATTGAACACTTGCTGCATGCTTGAATATGTGAAACTGATAAAAATAAGCCAAGCATTGATTCTTCCATAAAGGAAATAAAAATCCAGAGGGAGGTAAAAAGGTGAAATGAATAAGATGTGAAGTATAGTATGGGGTTTTAAAGAAAAATACAGATTTGATTCTACTTCAGCTATAAGAAAGAGAGGTCACTTTCATGTATGGAAGTGCAATTAGACAAATTTTATGAAGAAAGTAGATTACACTTGGGAAGAATTTTGATAAGCAGAAGGAGGAAAGAAAGGCATTCAAGAAAGAGGAACTAGCCCAGTTGGCATGGCTCAGTAGTTGAGCGCCAACCTATTGACTAAGGTCAGTCACAGTTTGATTCCTGGTCAAGCCACATGCCCAGGTTGAGGGTTCAATCTCCAATGGGGGACATGCAGGAGGCAACTTATCAATGATTCTCTTTTATCATTGTTGTTACTATCTCTCTCTCCTTTTCTGTTCCTCTCTGAAATCAATAAAAATACATTTTTAGAAAAGAAAGAGGAAATAGTCTGAATAAATGTGGAAAGGAAGAAAAGCTTAGGGTAGATCTCAGAAATAGCAAGGTAGAAGTCCAGTTTGGCTTGAAGTAGGATGCATAAAGGTGGATTCTAGGAAATCTGGGTGGCATGTGGAAGAAGGAAGTAAGCTTTAAACATTGTAAGGTTGAAGGATTAGCAAAGTAAAAAAGTTCCTATTGTATAACAGGCAGCTGACAATATGAAATTGGAAGACATTGAATGTTGAAATAGAGATTCAGAGGTCGAAAGAAGAAAAGGGGCTAGAAAAACCAGAACATTATAAAGGGAGAAAGTGCAAACAAAAGAGATAAGGAGAAAAGATAAAATTATAGAGGATTTTGTCTGTATGCATCTTTCTCAATACATAGAAGACTAGAAATTTTAGTATATTCAAATTCACAATTAAGCAGTAAGTTGGCATTTATTTATTGAGCAATAATAAATCTCAATAAATGTGTTAGAAATGCTTAGGTGCTGGGGCTGACCAGCAGACCCTGAATGGCAGATGAATGGATTACTCCAACCTGACTGTTTGCTGTGAAAGAGAGGGTTAAGGGGCTGTCTGGTTAAATGGCCACAAATATTTTACATGTCCTCTTGACCAGGAGGACATGTAAAATATTTGTGGCCATTTAAAATTTACCACACTTAGGAACTCAGCATGGCCTCACAGAATAACAATGGCTAAGTGGGCAGGAAAAACATTGAAAACTGCAGCACTATTAGAACCAAAAGCTGATCATCTGAGGTATTGAAAGAAGGATAGCTTTACTTTCTGTATAGATATAACCACATTACAATTCATGTTAATTCAAGGCCAGTATATATTAAAAGGAAGTGAATGGTTAGGATGACATAGATATACTTGAAAACTCAAAGCAAAAATTGGCACTATATTATTTTGCATAATAATGACAAGCCCCAAATCAATAAATAATGATTAATATTACTTTAGATTAGTAGGCATAAATTTTTATTATCATAACTAGAGGCCCATTGCACAAAATTCATGCACGGGGGTAGGGGGGTGTTTTCTCAGCCCAGCCTGCAATCTGGGACCCTCTCACAATCCAGGACTGCTGGCTCCCAACTGCTCTCCTGCTTCTGCCTGATTGCCCCTAATTGCTTCTGCCTGTCAGCAGGACCACCTCCTAACCACCCCCTACCAGCCTGATTGACACCTAACTGCTCCCTGGCGAGCCTAATTGCCCCTAACTGTCCTCTTCTGCCAGCCTGGTCCCCCCCAACTGCCCTCCCCTGCAGGCCTGGTTCCCCAACTGCCCTCTTCTTGTGGCCCAGTCACCCCTAACTTCCCTTCCCTGCAGGCCTGGTCCCCCCCCTCCCCCCCGCAAATGTCCTCCCCTTCAGGCCTGGGTCCCCCTCAACTGCCCTCCCTTGCTGGCCTGGTCACCCCTAACTGCCCACAACTTCCCTCCCCTACAGGCCATCTTGTAGTGGTCATCTTGTGTCCACTGAGGGAAAGCCATCTTTGACCACATGAGGGCAGCCATTTTGTGTCTTGGAGTGACAGTCAATTTGCGTATTATTTTTTTATGAGATAGGATGCTCAAAAATAACACCACTGATGAAGAGTAAAACCAGTAAAAATTACAACAGCTGATATTAACAGAATGTGTATTATGTACCAGTCCAAATAAATTTAATTTTGAAAGGGAACACAGGATTTTAATACTGTCAGTAGCTTATAATTCAATTCCTCATAATTTAATTCTGAATACATAATTTAACAGAAGGCTACATGAATATTTTTACTACCCTATCTTACCCTAAAACATAGCTTTAAGTTAAACTTCATATTTTTAATATTCTAACCTTGCTAACCCCTTATCCTCCATAACTTTTCCATGCATTGTTTCTGAGAACAAAATTAAGAGCATTTTCATGTGTATAGTACTTACAATATGGTTCTTGTCTTCTTTCTTATTACTCTGAATTGAAGGACTGTATCATTTACAAATTCAACATCATAGTTGGGTTCAAAAGACACATCTGAGGAAGATTCAATATTGAGTGGAACTTCAAATCGTTTATTATTAGGATCATAAATCTAAAACAAGTTAAATAGAATAAAGAGTGTATTAATTTTTTAAGTGATCTAATGGCAATGTTACCAATAAGTGAAATAGCACATTGTAGTTACCTCCAAAACAAGATATTATGTGAAGCACTTAATCAAATAACGTTATGACACTTAAAACTTCCAATTAACAAGGTTTGTATTCATGAAAAATACAGACTGTCAGTTATACTTACCTTAAATCGAAGACGATCTTTAGTATGAAATTCTACATCCATTACAATTGGGGAGATATCATTTCCAAACAGGGATATAGTACCACGTTTGATTAATGTTACCCTATAAGATAAATCACTTTTATTAATCAAAATGAAGCATATTTATTTTTATAGATGAGTGGGATTCCTCAGTTAAAATAAATGTTGATAAATGGGGAGGTAAACAACTTAGACCTTCAAAGAAAACAAAAATTCAGATGAGGAATGTTGTAGTCAGAGAAAAAACACTGAAGAGTAAATGTGAAACACTGAAATGGAAATAAAATAAATCAACTCATTTTCTTCCTAATATGACTCTAAGAATAGGAAAAACTGCAGAGACAAAATAAAAAACATGGCCACTTGACTTAGTTGATATTGATACAATCTGCCATGGAGTAGAATGAAATCTCTTGTCATGTTCAACCAGGATGGCTGCCCATGGCTTCTAAAAGCCAGGCTTAGAAGTAATTAATGGGAAGTCATGTATCCAAATCCCTGGGCATGGCCCCTCTCCTCCCAGTTGTGTCTTCTCTCCTCATCCTGCATACAAATGTGTGTGAAACAACTACACATGTCCAGCCACTAGAATCTCCAATTCAGTGCCATCACCACTGTCACCCACTCTAACCCAGCTTTCCAATGTTAAATTCAGGGACAGAGGCCCGTTTCCTCCAGTACCTTCTTGGTTAGATACATTACTTTAGGTCTATTATGGAAAAGCATCACTTATTGACATTGTTTTGCTGTGGAACATTCTGTCCTGACTTAAAAAGAATCCATTAATATTTGAGATCTTGTATACATTCAGCAAGCAAAATGATCTGATGGTCAAATCAAGACATAACAACATCTCGCAGGCCCAGAGTCAAGTGTAAGGCTAGGCACACAATATCAATAAGCCAAAGGCAGCCCAGACAGCAAAGACACTGACATTTGGAGTCTTTGTGATTGATCAGTGTTTCTGCTTCTCTTACAGTTCCCCTTTCTGTATAATCTTTGTTCCAAGTCAGAATTTAATATAGTTATAATTTAATTTATCTGACATTTATTTTATTTTATGGTTCACTGCTCTTGCTCATCCTGAGCTTCTATTATTTTAATTTCAGATTTTAATCTGTTTTCAAAAAATTTCCCATGATGCTCTCTGCTAAAATCTGCAAAAACTCAAACCAAGGGCAAACTTAGAATAAAAGAAAATAACATATAATGTAAGTTAGCTCAATCAAGTTATATTTGAGCCCATACAATAGGTTGGTGTATTCAGTGTAGAGCATTTTCAAGGTCCAAAATCAAAATGTGACAGTATTTTTTTTCTCTACTTTCAATTTGGAATTCATTATATTTCCAAGATTACCCTATCCCACTCTGATAGAAAACCAGTTTCTCTCAGACCAGACCTCCCCCTTTTGCTTCCAGCTAGTGTCTTAACTATCATTTCTTGTCTTTGTCTTTAAAGATACTGGTTCTCCAAATCCGTTCTCCTAACCATCATCACTACATTTTATATCACTGCCTGGTGGAAAACATAAATGGAAAACACATTTTGACACAGTTTCAAGCCTTGGTCTCACAATGTAAAGAGAAAATAGCTCATAAATTCCAAGTAGAAATTGAAGTAAAGTCAACTTTCATAATACTCTTTGGAGGTCCAACTAAGTAAATGCCAGAATTCTATACATGCCATGCACTGCTAAAAAAGTATCTTCAAAATCAAGATCTAGTCTGAAAATCAGTATAGAGATGTTGTGTGTGTTTTTTTAAGTGAGACTTAACATACTAAATTAGCTTTTGTCTTGAGAATCGTGATGAAAGGAAAACAACAATTTATCCTGTTCTCCTTATAAAAGTTAAGCCTATCATTTGTGATTGAGTTACTTTTGCACTTATTAATTAGAGGAAGTACTCTGATGATGTTAAAGTATAATTTCTGATGTTCTGAAATTGTGGCTGTTCGGGGCGATTTTTCATTCTGACTTTCTATATCATTTCACTGAGAATTAAGTGCTGTGTCATGCTTCACAAAAGATACGCAACAAAAAGAAAAGATTGACAGGATTGCACAAGAGGCAAGAGTTTTACCATAGCCTGGCTTATTTGCAATGAATCATCCCAGCCCAGAAAATAATGAGTGTTTCTGGCTACTTGGCAGGGTCGGCACAACTGACTGAGAAACAAGAAAGAGAGGTGTAACCTGCTCTTCAACAGGGGAGTCTGACGTTGATTTCGAAGTAAAAACGATTAGGAAGCAAAAAAACCGTGATGTCTTTTAGGCTTTTTGATTCACTATGAAGGCTCCAAGTTCTCAGGATAGAGCCAATAAAAACAGAGCTGGTATGTGCATCAAACAAACCCAGGAGAAAGTTCTGATGAAAGTCTTATTAAAAGCTCTAGAAGGTGCATACCTCCATCCCTGAGCTGTTTTTTGCGGTGCATCTTTCAGGGTGTAGCCATGTGGGCCATTGGCAGGGTAGAAGCACCAGGGAACATTGGCAATGGTTGTAGGACACCAGACACAGCCTTTCGCTTCACAGACCTCTGGAGAAGCTCCTGGCTGAGGATGGCAATCCACGCGGTTCCGAATGGGAAATTTCGTGGAACAAGTGGCTTCTTCTTCAGAGTTGTAGAAACAAAACGGAACTGTGGTGTTCTCGGAGGCACACCAGTGACACCCGCGGTTCACACAGGCAGCTTCATCTGCTCCGGGCTCCGGATGACAATCGATTCTTTGGGGTTCAGGCACCACAGAACACGAATCCACCTTCTCAAAGCACCAAGGGATGCCTGGGGTTTTCCATGGAGACCAACAGCAATTCCGGGACAGACAACTGGCTTCGGAAGCTCCGGGATCGGGGTGACAGTCTTTACGGAGTTGGGGGGCTAGGGGTGCCAAACATGAACTTGAATTGGCAGACTGGACTAGAACTGAACCAAGAAGGAAAACAGAGCGATATAAGTGCAAAAAATATCTCGACAACATAGTTATCATTAAGATACTTTGGTGGAACTTAAAAAAAAAAAAAAGAAAAGAAAAGAATCAAAGTGCTTAGATTATGAATGGAATAGTTACTGGATTTCAACAGTAAGTACTATAAATTTGTCAGCCTCGGTAGAAGAAAGCAAAGGGAAAAAACAAAAACCCACCTTGTCCCTTAAAAATGAAGCACTAATATTTTACTTCATCACTCCTAATATTCTCAGCGTGCACATGCTTTACTATCTCCACAATTTTAGGCATCTACCCATTATCTTTTCTAAATGTTACCAAGTGAATTTTACAAAAGTCAGTAGCTTTGCCTGTTCTGTTGGCTATATTTTCCTTCATTTATAGTCTAGACAGCAGTTGTCAGTCTCCAATAATAATAGTGCAGAAATATCTATACATGTTTTCTCTAAACTAACAAGGCACTGTATGCTATGCTATGTGTTGCTGAGTCAATTCTAACTCCCGGCAACCCTATGAATGGGTGATGTCCACAATATCCTGTCCTCCATAACCCTGCTGAGCTCTTATGGACTCATTTTTGTGGGTTGTTGTTATAATGTTTTTATGCAGCCAACCCACCTCATATTTGGTATTCTTTTCCTGCTGCCTTCTATTTTTCTCAGCATTATTGTCTTTTCTAAAGGACTCTGCCTTCTTAGAATGTGCCTGAAGTAGAACAGCTGCAGTTTTGCCATTTTTGCCTGCAATGATATTTCAGGCTTACTTTGCTCTAGGCCTCATCTGGTCATCTTGTGGTCCAGGGTAACCACAGAGCTCTCCTCCAATACCAAATTTCAGATGAATCAATCTTTTCTTTTTTTTTTTCTTTTTTTTTTTTCAGATATGAGACCCCACAAGAATACCACAATACAGGTGTGCTTTTTCATCCCCTTTTGCTTGTGGCTATTTTTAAAAGTCCTGGGTTTGTGTTGCAAATGGAGATGCTTTCATCACTTGGGATATTTGTGAGAGTTTCACTGTATTAATCCAATAAATGTCATGGATTATAAATCTTTTTCTCCATAAATCGGATAAAACATCTAAACACAGATACAATTCAACTCTTCATTCTGATCTCTTTTATCATAAATAATTTCCAAACTATGCTTTTGCAAGTGAGGCCCATGGAATGCCTGCTGTAGAACTGCCTATCAAGTCGGTAAACATACTTTTTGGAAAATGAGCCTTATCATCAGTACCTGGCTGGCGTGTGGACACAAAATTGCACAATGCTATTGACAGGAATTTGACAATACCTAACAAATTACGTATGCTTTCACTTTTTGACCAAATACTATTTTTTGAGAATTTATCCCAAAGATACACAAAGATATATTTAGTGAAACATCAGTTGTAATGGCACACAATATACAAAATGTCCTTCAATAAAGGACAAATGAAATAAATTATGGGCACATAAATCATAAAAGAGAATGAGAAATTTCTATATATTATACAGACTTATTTCCTATATTTAGTAGAAAAAAAACACAAGGTTCAAGATAGTGTTTCTGAATGACACATTTTCTGTAAAAATGTGGTAGCAGATATCTATATCTATCTATCTATTTATATTTATATATATATATATGCATCTCTTTATAATTTAAAAAAGAATCAATGGAAGCATACAATAAACAATAACAAAAATAATTACATATTTGAGAAAAGAAGAAACAGGAATAAGAAAAAAAAGATCACTCTTTAGCTGTATCTTGACATGTAGTTTTTTTTTTTGAAATCATGTCAATTTTAATTGAATTTTCAGGAAAACAAAATTGATTTTAAAAGACATATTTTAAAAAACTGACACATACTAAAACAGATGCACTTGCTTATTTTATTATGTTGATAACATGTCCACACACATATAAAAAAAGGAATTACCTCATGATTTTAAAGCAAATATTTTTATATTTCTAATGGTATATATATATATATACTTAAAGAGCAAGCCACAAAGAAATTGTAACATGAATCCCAGTGGTCATATTGTTAATATTAATACTGATATTTTAATTTTTGAACCTAAAAATACATTGAATATATTGTAGCCTAAAGCAAATGAGTAATTACATTACTGTTTCTATGAAACAATATTTCAGCATAGGAAACTGTAACTATATACTTTTTAAAATAATTTAAAACACTAAGCATAATTTGACTTGAAAATATTAGCATGAAATAATGATTAATCATACTCTTTTATAAACAGGCATGTTTCCAAATCACTGTCCACTGAGAAAACTAGAAGCAATGACACCCCATTAATAAGAAGCTCATCTACCATAAACACTGTGGCTTTTAGCTGCCACTCCTCGTTAAAAAGAAAGAGTCATTCCTTGGGGAAAATTACTCCATCGAGGGTAAGGAATGTTTAAGAGGAGTATGGAACACCTTTACATTCAAGAAAGAAAGAAAAGCACCTTGCTGGCTCCAACTTAAAGTGATTCTCAGTGGTATTAGATGTAACAATCCACAGGATAAAGGACACTTCAATGGATAAACACACAGATAGATAAATAAATAGTGCTGGGACATGATTGCCCAGAAGAAACTGAATGTTGATTACCCTGAAAATTGAGAACTGAAGAGAAGGAATCATACATTATCCTGCGATTCTCATGTAATTTATTATAGGATTGCCAAGTAGTTGATGATGAACAGTTATATGATTATTTTAAACTAAATACCAGCCCTGGCTGGTATTTCTCAGTGGTTAGAACATCGGCCTGCTCACCAAAGGGTCACGGGTTTGATTTCAGGTCAAGGGCATGTACCAGGTTTGCAGATTCCTTCCCTGGCCTGGTTAAGGTAGGTGCAGGAGCCAACTAATAGATGTGTCTCTCTCACATCTATGTTCACCCCCCTTTCACTCTCTCTAAAAAAATCAATGGAAAAATATCCTTGGACGAGGATTAACAGCAACAAAAAAATTAAATCTCATATAGAAAATGCCTTACAAATTATAGTAGACCCTATTTTGTAACTTCTAATGAAATAATCTATATAGATAGTGATCATCAATGGGTAAATGGAAGTTGATGGAGACCCCTATAATGAATGATCAGGCTGCCACCATATGATACACTGATGAATCTTAGCGTCATTGAAAATGGGAAAACAAGGAATATTATGTGAGATGCAATCGGAACTCACAGCACCACTTGTGAAGTATTCCTGTCAAAAAGCATTGAACATGATGCTGTTCAAGTCTCTAGAACCAATGACCAGCTACAGGAAGTAAAGGGAACAGAAGTAATTTGGGGATAGAAGAACATTTCAGTGATACCACCATGAAGAAGTAATCAGCCAAATCCGGAATGTGGGATTTCCTTCAGAACAAATAATAACCTGATTTCCCCAACAAATTAATGGCATGAAGGAAGATGGTAGTAGAAGAGACTGCTGAAGAATAAAAGATATAAGAGCCTGAATGCCTAAATTCAATGAGGAAATCTATGAACTTGAATAGAAAAATATTATATCTATCCCACTAATTCCAACTAAAATTTAGCATTTCCGTCATTTATGACATAGGCAACAAATCACAGCAGCATTCAAAGAACACATCAGTTCATCCCAAATAGATATCAGACATTTTATATATTTTTGTTTCACACTATAGTGATGTAAATATTTGACAATATTATTTAAATTCACCATAATTTTGAAATTATGGTATTTTTAGGACCAGATGCTAGATCTTATTATTTTATATATTAATAAAGAAGCACATTTATTGGTGTAGCACAAATTTTTAAAATACTTTATAAGAATTTTTCAATATAATTAGTTTCATATGTAATTGTCATTTAGGCTCTTATATCACGTATACCCAAGAGTCTATAAATTGCAGTTAGACTACTGTTCTATTATATATCACAACATTGCATTGGTCCTTAAACTTTTCCTTCTTACAATTCCAAATGTCAACTTCAACAAATAAAAACAACCCACTTCATTATCTCTCTTGTTTTTCAAAATTCAAACCAAGCAAATAATATCACTAAATAAACAACTTCACACATAGATATCATGCACACATCATCCTAGCTACCCTCCAGGGTGTCAGATCACTCTGTTCTCCAGTTATTATTTCATCTATTCTCTGACCACCTAAGCTCCCCATTAAATTTCTGAAGGACTCATCATTGCCCCTCTGTCCTTTCTGAGCTCTTCCTTCTTTTTCTGCACCAACTATAGGGGTTTGCTCCCAGGCTCAAACATGGCTCTGACAATTTAGGAGCTGTACAATTTGAGATACACACCTACTTAAAAGAGCAATGATGAAGCTTAGCTCATAAGTTCCAAGCTAACTGCCTCTTTCTTGTGATTATGGTCTAAGTTAATGCAGAATATATAGTAATAAATACTATGTAGATACCGTGGTTAAGGGCTTGGATTGACCCTTAACCATGATCTTTGTTCAAATCTCAGTTCTAACTCTTACCAGCTATGTCCTGGGACAGAGTACTTTGCTCTTCAGAGCAGGAATAGAAATGGAATTTTTAGAAATTAAATCAGTAAAGATTTTTAGTCAACAGCTGGCAAATCTTTCTTTGTATATTAGCTGTTGTGTTTAATACAAGGAACTGGCATATGCTAAAAATATCTAATTAATAATTTAGGTTATCATTAACAAATAGAAAACCCTTAAATTCCTTTTCGAATTCCATCAAGGATAAGAGATATGAAATATTAAGGATTAGATAGGTTGATTTAACACTCTTATTGTATCAAGTGTTGATTGAAAATTTGTTAAACATTTTCAAAGTAAGTTCCTTACCTGCCAGAACCATGGAACAAACACGGAGAAGCCTTACGGCCTTCATGGTCCCAGAAAAGTAACACTTGCTCATGGCATGTGATGTATTTATATGGAACAATTTGAATAAATTGTTTGGCCTTGAATTTTTTCTACAGGGCAATGAGGCCAAGAACAAGTCCTTGAAAGTCTTCCCACAAAGTTACCAGTGGCTAGTGCTACCGTGTAATGGAAAGACATTAGGCTAGCATGCAGGTGGCCTAGAGTGTAATCTAGCTGTCTGTGGCTGTGGCAATGGATGTGTCATTTACCTTCTAGGAGTCAAGATTTCTTTGTAAGCTGGATACAATACCTGCCCTGCCTGTTTCATGGGGTTAGAATGAAGATCGCAGCTATGACATTACCATCCATAAGAAGACCAATGCCAGTGAAAAGTCACCTTCTCCTTTTGACATGTCCTAGGTCCCTTGATCTACTGAAGGAATTAAGGACTAGGTAAGAGAAGTTGCCAATGAATTATATTTTTTTTTCTTTCTAAACCTCAAAATTTCCAGTTCTATGGTTTTTTGGTTTTTGTTTTTTTGCTTTATTTTGTTTTTAAAATATATTTATTGATTTTTTACAGAGAGGAAGAGAGAGGGATAGAGAGTTAGAAACATCAATGAGAGAGAATCATCGATCAGCTGCCTCTTGCACACCCTCTACTGGGGATGTGCCCGCAATCAAGGTACATGCCTTGACCGGAATCGAACCTGGGACCTTTCAGTCTGCAGGCCAACTGCTCTATCCACTGAGCCAAACCGGTTTCAGCCAGTTCTATGGTTTTTAAATTATTCCTAGTTGAGCAAAAATTTCAATCACTGTTCTTTAAGGTCAGCATAAAAGTATTGGGGAAAAGAGTTTATGTAGAAAACAACTCAGGTTAAACCAAAGTCATAAGATGTATAACTCATCAATATTCAATAATGCTTTATCTTACATATAGGCAAATGGGCAACTCCATATGCGGTGAAGTATAGAAAAGTATCTTCCAGTATTCTTTCCCTCACTAACAAACCACAGCATGATACATTTTCACCCAACCACAAAGTTTCAGCTTTAGGGTTAGCAGGGCTTAAGAGCTGTATTTTTACTGGAAGTAATTTTAACTTAATAAAGTGAAAAGGAATAGTTTAACTTCAAAGGACCGTCCATCAGTCTATCACAAACATTGACTGGGTTAGTTAATAAACTTAAAATTCTCTCTAGGAGGAGAAGCCTGGATTCTAGCAAGGAAGAAGGAGAAAAAAGGGGCAGTTGACATCAAACAGAAAAAAAGCAAACAGAGGAAAAAAGCAGAGACAAGGAAGAAGGAGAAAAATGGGGCAGTTGACATCAAACAGAAAAAAAGCAAACAGAGGAAAAAAGCAGAGACAAGGAAGAAGGAGAAAAATGGGGCAGTTGACATCAAACAGAAAAAAAGCAAACAGGAAAAAGGCAGAGACAAACTTGCCTCTTACATTTTTACAGAAGAACCTCTTCATCATCTTTAGAGGGAAACTGAACCTGTTGGCAAACACGGGGATACTTCCATTGGGAGCTGCCCAAGAACTCAGTTCCTTGTAATAAATTCTGCCTGGACAGGGAGTTACTCAGAATGGAACAGAGGCGTTCAGAATCCCAGCATGGAACAGCGGGGCCCAGATCTGAACCAAAGCCAAAGCCAAAGCCAAAGCACACTGGTATGATTTAAACGGGACTGCCAAAGGGTGGATAGGAAGAAATCTGCACATTTACTACATCATTGTACTGTCTTTTCTGATTCCAGCTGGCAAGAAGAAGCCTTAGAACACTGAGCCCTCAGTTACTAAGATGGATGTGTATGACCAAGTCCTCTGCATCCTGAGGACACACAAGGTATCTTCTCTAAAGGAATAAGGAGACCCACAGGGTACAGACACGTAAAGGTTAAGTAGAACATGCACATCTATCAGCCAATTGAATATTTATTTTCATTGGTAAACTGATCATATTTATTTTTTCATCTGAGATAGACCCAACCAGGACCCTGGAGAACAGTGGCCCACTTTCTACAATCAACTTTTCACTTCAAAGCACTACTTCCCAGGTGGTTCATGGAAAGGGTCCATATAAATAGTACACAAGAGGTAAAGGAGCTAGAATTTTAGACACTTTTCAATTATGTCAAGTAGGAAATGCAATCAATTATGTATGTGAAACAAAAACTATGTATGTATTAAAAAACTTGTATATAGCCGGGGCACTCATATTTATAAAATCAAAAAGTAGGACATAACATACAACAAATTTGCCTTTGTAGGAAAAATGAGATTAAACATTTAAAATTCAGACAGAATTGGAAAAATCTTAGATCCCAGAAAATCTTTGACTTGATTTATTTTCAATATGACAAAGTAGGAAAAGGTCAGTAGCATGGATATAATTAATACCTTTATTCACAGCACATGTTTTACTAAAATTTTAAATTTGTGCTAGGGTCAAATTCAGGGTGTTTTCAAAGGAGAATTTTTGAAATTTGGATTGTTGGCTGAAACTCAGAAATATTCCTAGAAATACTACTTATTTATATGGTATTACATATGTATAAATTTAACTGTTTTAAAAATAAATTAAAATAATGGGTGACTTGTTATAAGAGCATTTGTTCAAATTTCCTGTAATAAACCTAAAATTCCCATATCTATTTAGTTCATATGATATTTTCTGTTAGATAGCAAAATTGTACACACACACACACACATATTAATTTACCTTTACCCTACAGGTATATGTAAGATTCCCAGCTGTATTAACATATTTTAATTATTATTTCTATTTGCTTAATATATTCAAAGGGAAGAACAGAGGTGTAAAAATAAATTTATGCTATGATCATCATAATTAGTTTCAGTAACCTTTCTAATTCCTTAGGATAAAGAATTGTATAGTTTTGCAAGCTTTGAGGACTGTTTTAAATCAATGTGTATCATATGAAAGCCTAAAGACAAATCAGATCCCTCCCTCAAGAGTTTATTAAAATAATTCATCTTAACATTCCAATTAAAATAAAAATTTAATATCTTAAATAGTTATTATTGTGTATATTTACTCACTTGATTATAATCACCCTTTCTGACAATCTCATTAACAGATTATGCTGATTACATAAAGCACCGTATTTTTTATACAAGTTAACAGTGAATTGCTATTTTAAGCATATATAAACAGAAATCCTAATATGCTATATCTCTCATTTTTCACATTGACATATAGATCAAAAACATCCATCAATTTCTAGGGCTCAGCATATTTAAGTAGGAAAACTTGCTGGTGAGAGCATTCTGGATATTAAATCTAAATAAGCAAGATATTGAAGTGAAATATTCAGGAGCTAGTCTAATGAGGAAAATAGCTGGATGTCATCATACATCCAATATGGGAAAGAAGGTCAGACTAAATCGGTAATTGCTTCAAACTTTTTCCTTAATATCCCAGTGATTTGGTGATGGGGGAATGAGAAAGCGGACAGGTGACAGCATTTTATTTATCGTGTTCATGTAAATAATATAATCAATCTGGGATATGTGTGAACTCGCACACACATTTCTCTTTTCCAGAACCTTATGCAATTCAAAAATCCTCTTCAAAACATTTATATACAGATTCCATTATGGATGCTCCCTAAGGATGTAGTTTCTACTCAGAAAACAAATTTCTGAAAGGCACATTAGTCATTCAATAAATATTTACTAAGCACCTACCAAAGGCCAAATGCTGCCTAGATCCTGGGGACACAACACATTCCTGCTTTCACAGCCCAAGTGCCATGAATGGGGACCTCCCGGGAGCAGTGGGAAGACATAGAAGACCTACCCCATTCAAAAGGCATAGCTCTGTCCAGTAACACTCAGGGGATTAATTGGGTTATGGTAACAAGGCATCAATTTAATTCTAGACAGACCCAAGCTTTCATTTGCTACTTAGTATTTTCCCAATAATTTTACTTCTAAGTTTTAATAGTAGGTTAAAGTTGTTGTCTTCTTTATATGTTGGTTGGATTTTCCTCAAACATGTCAATAATTTTTGCAAGAAGAAAATGACATTGAAATTAAACTGTCTTCCTTTGTGAATTCCTAGGTGAAGAAGGGCCTAAATCACTAACATGGATTACAAATTCCGTTCCAGATTCCCCATGTAGGGGAAAAAGATAGAGGAAAAAGATATGGAACATGCATCTAAGCAAGTACATATCCACAGCCTAACGCAGTTCACATTTGTCTTATACTGACCTGGTAAAGAGGTACTATTGAGCAGAAGAGACAAACTACACATCTAACTTTAAGGGGGAGGAGGAAACTACTGCAGTGTTTATTCTGTTCTTTTTTTTTTTTTTTTTTTTTTTTTTTTTACATTTTTCCTGAAGTATAGCCTGTCAGTCACTCTCATTTCTCCAAGGAAAGAGTGGAACCAGAAGGAAAGCTCAAACTGTGGAAACCACCAGGACTTAGAGTCCTGAGGAGACTCATCCTAGGTCCCATCGAGCATGTTCTACTTCACAGTTCCAAACTCCACAGTGTCCTTTCTACATCTTATCTTTCAATATCCTGTCTGTCATTCTCAACCCAGTAATAAATCTTTTATTCTACTCCCCAGGCATGAATATAATTAATAAACTGTACTGAGCTTTGGTCAAACTTTATCCAACAATCCTGATGACAGTCCCCTTTTCTTAGTCAAATCATTCACAAAACTCATTCAGGATCATTCTTCAAAGACAAAAACAAAAACAAAAACAAAAACAAGAACCAGAAAACCATTATATATCAGAGAGTCAAATGCTTTTTTAAGTCAAGATGTATTTGGTGACACCAGGAACAAGCAGCTATGAGAAAAGTATATCTATCGGGTAATATTCCTCCCACCAAAGCCATCTTGCAGTTTACCCATCTTATCATCTGAATGTTTACAAACTGATTGAGAATATTTATTTTTATTCATGTGAGTGGGAAGGTAACACATGACAAACCAAACATTTACTTTAACCTGCAGGTTAACTAATCCTAAAAATCAGGGCCATGATTACTAACAATTTATAATAGTAAGAGGTAA